CATCTTTCCAAAAAGAGTGTATTATGGCACCCATGGTATATGACTACACGATCATATTGCCAAGGATGACCCAAAAGAATATGGCATGCATTCACGGGTAGGACGTCATTTAAACTAAATTCTTAGAATTTTTACTGATAGAAAAAAGTAATTAAGCAACGAGCAGTTACCAAAGTCTCATTAACTTTCCAAAAGTATTCTATTTTGTAGGGTTGGGGATGCTTCTTGCATGTCAACTCCAACTTGCCTACAACCTCTTGAGACACCATATTACCGCAGCTGCCACTGTTAATGAAAATGGTGTTCCCCTTCCCAAGGATTGTAGGAGTCTGGAAGATGTTGGCTTGGAGCCATGGATTTTTCAACATCTTTGGGATAGTGAGTCTAATGATGAGGACTTCCCCTCATCAGCCTCAAGTTCAGCAACATCTTGCTTATTATCCTTTACCGGCTTCTCATTAAGTACTTGCCCGGTGCCAACATCTCCTTCATTCGCATCATCCCCATCTAGGAGATGTATGCTATGCCAACTTGCAGTTTCTAGCAATCTTGCTACCGGTGGCCAATCTTGCCACATTTTTAACATTTCACAGCCTGTTCTTGGTTTTGGAGGGGCATATTGGTAACTAGAACTTTGCCCTTAGATGCCTCATTTGTGTATGAGCTGGATGCAATTTCTTGCGGCTTTTGCCTTGCCACGTGCCCCCTTTGAACTGGGGTTGATTTCCAGCTAGGGGTGGCAATGGGTCGGGTCTGGGTTCAACTGGACCTGTATCTGGACCTGAAAATATTTATGGGATCCAGAGCCGACTGGACCCAAAGTTATCGGACTTGAATCCAGACCCGACTGGACCTTGACCTAATTGGACCCAACCCTAAAAAAATATATATATACTTAAATATAATTAAGTATTGTATTAAATATATACATGTATTATTTAAATATTATAATGCATGTATTATTTAAATATTATTACTAAAAATATGTATTATATTTATTTAAATATTATTTAAAGAAAAAGTGTTTTGTGTGTAAATGGACTCACTAGCCCGTGCAATCACAAACGTCCATCTTTAAGATGAACATCCACAACTAAAGATTCCTATCCAATGGAAAGGAAAATATTCTAATAAAAATGTTTAAAAACTTCTATTTTATTGTATTTTATTTTTTATATTCATGATCATCATAGTGTAGATCATGGATCCCTCCAAATTTGGATCCAAGATCGATACAAATAATGGTCAAGGGAGCCCGCATGAAAATAGTATGAGTCGGGGTCGAGGGATTCATAATATCAGGATCCTTATTTAAATATTATATGTTGAATATTATCTAAATTAACACTATTCGGGTTGGGTCTACATGGACCCAGACCCGGACCTGAATATTGTTCGGGTCTAAATCTTGAACAAAGCCTGACCCGACTTCTTGGGTCCAATTTTTGACCCATACCCAGACCTGGGATGGGTCCGGTCATTTGGTACCTGGTCGGTCCGGGTCCATTGCCACCCCTATTTCCAGCCAGTAGAGCAACTTTTTTTCAATTTGGTTTCAGCTTTAAGGCCATTTGATAAGCCTCGAGACTAAAAATCTGGTGTAGAAGTAATTTATCTGAGGTTTCAATCCACTGCGATGAGTTGGTCATCGCTTTCATTGATTTCGTTCTAGCTCATAAGGTGGAAACTTTTATTCGTAAATACCTGCATGCTCTCCTTTTGCCGCAAATGATGGAATTGCTGGTACAATTCTCTCATAACTAGTGGATACAAATTTCTCCTTAAGACGTGGCTTCATTTTCCTCCAAGTCGAACTCTCTTCTTTCCCTTTTGTACTTGACCAGCCTGTACCTGCTGCCACCATATTTGAGCGTGCCCCTTGAGTCGAATTTGACTTTCCTTTTTTCCAAGAAGTCCTTCCAAGTTGAAGAAGGACACGCTTTCTATGAATCCATGTAGAAATGAATTCAGCTCTTAAAAATCTTTTTTTGAGATGGATTTTCGGACCCAATTTTTAAGGACATGTAATCTCTAACATGGAGATCATGAATATAAAAAAATAAATAAATTTTAAGAAATTAAAATAATGACTTTATGAAGAAAAAATTTGGACTATTAGTTTCAATTGTTTTTAAATGGACTACCTATTTACATCCATCTTTAAGATGGATGCTTTATACCTTGGGACCGCATATGGTAGAAATGCGGTCCAGCCCACATGGAACAATGTTCCCTTGAAGAAAGGCTCCATATTGTCTAGGTAGCCAAGAAATCACCGGGCTGAGATTTTCCCAACAATTTAGGGATGTCAATCTCTCACACCTTCATCTGACCTGGCTAGGGTGCAAACGAACCTATCTTGCAATGAGGGGTTCTCCCTCGTTTAGTTGTGAAAAGAATATGTACTTTCTTCACTCTATTCCTCACTTCTGTAACCAATTCTCATCCAAAGTGGGCGAGGCGATCAACCAATTGTTCCATTTCACTGAACCTCGTCAACAACTCCGTATTCTGCCCTTGGCACAGTACCTCCTCCATGGCCTCCATCTCCTTCTCTGTTAGCCATAACACTACACCCAAAAGAGGATTCATGCTTTGATACTACTTGATATAAAACAACGAGAAAATAGAGAGAGACAGTTCATAATCGGGTAGAAACTAAGGTGATTCCAAGACAATGAGGGATGAAGCTAACAACCTTAGGTTCATTGGCTTGTATGAGGGTCCAAGGGCCACACAAAAATGGGAACCATGTTCCTAATTTCTAAAGTTTAGGGCAAAAACGTTCCATCCCAGCAAGGTAAAAGTCTTTCTCTTCTAATAGAGTTGACTCGGCTTCTAAGCCAAAGTTCTTTTAACTTTCCTAGGAGCATTAATGGACAATATCCCTTCTCAAGCCATGCACACATCCTCTTCCTAAACTAATTATTTCCCCTTCCCAAGCCATGGACAATAACTCTTCCCAAGCAAATTTTAAATTTTAACTCTTAACATTTCCCTCCTAATTTTCTGCATGCCCAAATATAAATGGAATCCCAAAATATCCAAAATACCCTTGTTTTAATCCCCCCCCTCCGTCCCCTAAGAAAAAAAAAAGAAACAAGAAAAAAAAGGGAAACCTTAATCCACAAAATTTTAACTAAAGTTTCTTTGTTTTCTGCATCATATATCAAGCTCTAGATCACCCAAAAGTTTGTCTTAGAACCTATCGTAACAGTTCACAATCTGTCAAATAAAAAAATTGAGGTTTGGGATGATTTCTTGAACTTGTTAAAATTTTCAATCTGACAAGAATTTCACATATCCAATTTGGGAGGTTTGTTTTGCACAAACTTTTTTTCTTTTGTTTCTCTTCTCATTTTTCCTTTTTTTTTTTTTACGCATTTGGTGGTTGGGGGGGGTGGTGTGGTTGGGCTGGGGCAGCACAGGGGAGGCATGGGGAGCTGTGTTTAAGAGGGGAAAAAGGAGAATTTTGCTCCCTTGCCCAATGACAATTTCCGCACTCAGGCAAGTGGTGTACAAGGTGTGGCACTAGGCGCTAGGCTAGGGGCTGCTAAGATCGACTCTGTGGCAGCTCAAGGGGTGCAATCTAGGTCTAGGCAGGGCACTATTGCTCCGTAAGTGGGGCGGCAGGGCTTTCTAGGCACTAGCCAGCAATAGTGCAAATAGGTTACTATATTTGACTATAATCAAGTGGAACTGTTTGCTGGTTGCTATATGATAAATTTTAGGTTGAATTCTAAAGCCTGATATAAAATCTTCATCTGTGCTTGCCCTCAGTTGTCTGTTCTTATCATGCAATGGATGTGCTTGTGACACATTGTTGAGTGGATCATGCAGACTGCCTGCAGAATTTCACTGATCTCAGATGGCACTTGTTAAAGCAAGTTTAACATAATTGAATTCCTGAGAACTCAAGAAGATTTGGTCTAAACCAGTGTGGATAGAGGGTAGTGTATTTAAGTCAAGTGTGGAAACAATAGATAGAGGGTAGTGGATTTAAGTCACAGTGCGGAAACGAGAGAGAGAGTAGGATTCTATTTATCAAATGGAAAAATCAACTTGTTACATACAGTCCCTGTACAGGGACGTTGTTTTTGTGTGTGTGTGTGTGTGTGAGAGAGAGAGAGAGAGAGAGAGAGAGAGAGAGAGTCTGTAAGGTGACTCTTTTATGGCCATAATGAAGATAACTCTTTCTCTGCTTTCTATACGACCAACTAAGGTACCTTGAACAGTTGCAGAGTGACACGAGATTACTGAGGTATTTAAGACACAAGAACCATATGCAACATTGTGATACACTTCAAGAAAACTATTGTGGGATAGTTATGCCCTTGTTAAAAAATGATTCAAAGGTCCTATATATAAAATGTTTAGGGATTATATACCATGAGACCATTTACTTTTAGCAAGGTCACAATCATTTGTAGCCATGGGATACGAAATTTAATATACTGAAGATTATCACAACATTCACGAAATTTAATATACTGAAGAGTATCACAACATTCACGAAATTTTATTTTGGACTTTGTGCCAAATCAATAAAACAACTGCTATCTAATTTCACATCTAATGGATAATAATGATTGTGACATCCTTGTATCAAATGTTAATGGCCATTTATGTATATTACCAAATGTAAATTTGACTCTTGAAATTCCTGATACGAATTGACATTGCTCAACCAAACTTGGAAATCTCATTATCTGTGTGACAAATGGGAAACAATTCTGCCATTATGCCCACAAATTACACATCCTCGCTACAATCTTTAAAATATTAAAAAAACCTACAAAATATTCTCCATGGAAGGTTCTGCTAGCTGCTGTAACTCATTCTTCACATCTCTCTTTATCATTTATAAATTTAGTATGTACTTTTGTACTTATGGTTTGTGCTTGGGCTGTATGTGCTCTAATTTTTGTATATATAGGTATTGAATAATTAGTATCCTCATAGTTCCTTAGAAGTCTGTATCTCATCTCTGAAATTTTCAGGTGCGGCGAAACAATCAAGATATTGGACCCTTTGATTGTACGAAGTACACAAACAATCCCACGACTAATTCTCAGTAGTGTCTGTGGATGTTCAACTACTTTCTCAGCACTGCTCAGTACATAACCTTGTCCGAGTTTGCAAGAAAGCATTCCAATTGCCACTCAGTGGGATATAAATTTTGAAATGCATTGGTTTGATGCCATTTGTTTGATGCCAAGTCCAATGAATCCCATGTTGCGCTCCTTGCATTTTTGTATAAGATGCATGTTTACAATAGGTCCTTTCAATTGCATGTTGAAGCACTTGTCAGAAGTTCATGCTATTCAGCCATTTATGGCATCTCAGACATTCTTCACTGAGGTGTGGCTCTCTGAATGTCAAGGCTAGCAGATTCTTGTCCATTTTGTCTTTCCCCAAATGCTTAGCTTCCGGATTCCAGTCTCGAAATAAGGATGATTAAATGGAAGGAGGCTCCCGCTGGTGTACATTTTCAGGCCCATCTCAAGTTAAATTTATGTAAATGTTCTTGTGATCGGTCCAACTGCTATAAAAAGCCTTAGCCACCCTTAGTACTCTTGAGATACATTAAAGTAGTTTTGCTTAGATTTATTTTGTTTTGGTACTCCTGGTTTTTGAAGCAATGATTGGAAGAAGCTATGTAGAAAGCTGGATTAAATGGTTATGGAACGAAATGACCATAGTAACAAGAGCATAAAATCCTTTCGGAAATAGTTATCAAAACTTTCCCTTGCCTAAAACGGGTATTTAGCCAAGAACCTGGTATCGTATCCAAGGCTGAAATCCAAATAAAGCTACTGAAAAAGATTGACCATAGAGGTGATGCTCGACGACCATTGTGGTGGGAGCATATCGTGATCTTAAACAAACCATGGAAGTTAGAAATGTTTTAAGGGCCTCTTTGGTTCCCTGTGGAAAAGTTTATGTTGGAATTGGTATTTACTAGAGTTGGCATATCCTAAAATATGGTGTATGCTGTTTGGATTGCATCTGGTAGAAACCAGGAAAATGCAAATTCACTGTTTCGATTGCCTGCAATATCTTTTTTCTTGAAAATGCAAATCCTATCTCTCTCTCTTGTTTCCCATGCAATATCAAGAAATGGGTGTTCCCCCTCGCAATAACCAAGCTTGGTGCATGTTTCTCTCTTTAGAATAACACCAAAAAAGTAACTAGTGAAGCTCTCTCTC